GCGCTTTTGAATAAGCTAATAAAAACCCATTGACTAACAAACAATCGTAGACTATGAACTCCGCTTCTCACCTTTCCACTTGACGGAATAATCAAAATGGCCGATCCGCTCTCGGCTAACAAATCGAAACCGTTCGACATCTGCGAGTATAATTTTTGCTAGGCGATCGATCGATTGTACGGACAAGTATTTATTCATTAATTCTTTCATTTTTTTCTTCACCCTCTTTCCTATACCTTTTTCATCAATTTTTATTTGGGGCGGTGGAAGGGAGGGAGGAGGAGGAGGAAAGGGAGGGAATAAAGGTCATTATTATACATTGAGAGTCATATTCTTCATATTTATTCATTTATTTATAAAGAAAAAAGCTGTCTCCTCCATGTCAAAAGTTATAAATTATGATTTTGGCTTTCCAGCAAATTCATACATGTTCGTACAACCTTCATTTGCCAAGTCACTGCTCAAGATAATACCTTTTGCTGTGGATAGTACTACAAACAAGAATATATTAACATCATTTTTTCCCAAAATGAATGATGACGTCTTTCCTATTGCATTTTCTCCTTTCTTAAGAAATTTATCTAGTTTTCTTCCTTCGCCATCAACCGTTCCAAATCTTCTTTCCTTCAATCCTGTTTTCTTTTCCCTAACTAAAGTGTCATTCATTTATAACAAATAAATAATGAATAGATTAAAATTAACGATAGCTTTTTTGATAAAAAAAAGTTCAATAATCAATAATAAATATAATCAATAAATCTGGGATAGATAAGTCAATAAAGTTAATGAATTTATGAAATCTTCAAATTTTATTATTAAATACCACTACATAGAATGTTCTATTGTTTTAATTGTATACACTTCATACGTCTATTTACATGTTCAGAAATGATAGGCTTTAGTCTATGAATATTTATTAGGACTTCATCACGGTTTTTACGTATTAATGACAGTTTTATCAAGCTACGCAGAGAGTCGTAGAGTGGACGAGACACCTCAACACGGGTATACGACGTATATCCGCGTATTTATCTCTAATGTATGCATACATACATATATTTTACATACAGTATATATATATATATATATATAGATGTACATAGGGTATACCTTACAACAGGTATTCATTGTTTATTGCTTATAAATGAAGAAGATCTATCATTCTTTCACTTATAAATATATGAATTTGTTGTTTAATAATAGTCAGAACAATAGGAGGTTTTTTAAGCTAATTCTTGACTTCCGTTTAATGGCATCCCGCCCTATTTTTTTCAATCAACTACTTTCCCTTTACAATATATATTCAAAAATGCTCAAATAAAAGTTTCAATAGCATCTTATCTTCCATACGCACAGGAACAAATCTATAAAGGCGTAGCCACGAATGGTAAAACGCATGGGGCGGAGCCTAACGTGATCGACAACTGCTCCCTTTCTCTCTCAAAAGTCTCTGCAGTCAGTTTCTGATTAGAAAATGGACGAGGAAGACCGACGATCCGACAGTGAAGTTTCTAAAGATGAGAAAATAATGACACCTCCCGTTCCTCCAAGAAGGCCTACATTCATGATAAGCGATATCTTATCAAGGAAAGAACCGATTAGACGTCCTCGACCTTATGCGTTTACGGATAATCGCATGATAATTGGCGGTGATGACGACGAAGAAAGCGATTGTAGTGGTAAGTTAAAAAAAATATAGAAAAGAATTAAATAATAATAATAAAAAATAGATATAAAATAAACATCTAGCAATATAAAAATATGAACGAAAGACATATTTTTTTTTAGAAGAGATCGTAAAATCTTAAAATAATTAAAAAAAAGAAATAAAAGTTTTTCCTTGTTTTTTAAAAAAAAAAAATTAACTTTTTTTTTTAATAAAACTATTTTCATTAAATTAAAATAGGTTGTAAAAAAAAATTGTTAAATTTATAAATATGAAATTATAAACATACAAAATAGAACTTGAAATAGAATAACGATTATAGGATTTATGACGACAACTCTAACGATAATTTATTAAGTATATAAAAATACTTTCAATATAAAACATAACAGTATCTTTTAGCGATAATTTTTAAAAATAATATTATTTTAGCGGATAGAGTTAGACAGCTGGTGAAAATCCGATATATAGGAAGAATTGCTTTAAAAAAAAAAAAATTCCAAGTAGGCCTATAAAATTGCTTTTTTTAAGGCAGCATAAGAGCAATTTAGTAGAGGCGATAGAGTTTGACTATGTGATATATATGTATGTATGTATAAAAGAGAGATATTATATATAATTCCACAGTTCAATAGACCAAGATAAAAAAAATATTGAAGCATATATAACATACATGTAAATTAACTATTCATGAAAAAGCGGTGATTAGATTTATATATCTCGAATAAATTAAAATTCATAGAGTAGAATAGTATTAACCTGTAATAAAAAGTCCATATGATAATAATTTAATGACATTTTATAGATTTACACAAGCTGTTCATAATAGTTGAATAGGAATGTATTCAATGAATGGAATATTTAAATTAGATTAATTAATATATAATAACATTATCCTTTTTTTTATACTTAGTTATAATATTTTATTAAGAAGTACTTAAAAAAATAATCAGTCTTCCTCCGTCCGTTTCATTACCATCCGCTCTCTCACTCTTCCTATCTTTGATTTTGTTTTTGGTTTATTTTAAATCATTTATTCATTGGGATCTTTATAAATCGTAATAAAAAAAAAGTCAAGAGAACGGAAAAGTTTTAGATTTTCTTCTTTCTATAATAAAGAAATTAATAAAATATTAAAAAATTTAATTAAAAAAATCAGTCATCGTAAAAAAAAAGAAAAGGAACACAACAACATCAACTGTGCAATGAAGTGGGCAGAAGAAGTAGGCATTTTTTTCTTTCTATGATTAATTAATTGGGTCATTAGAAGTTGCGTGTCTAAGCAAATTTTCTTCTGATTTCATGAATTAATATATGTTGATTTAAGTTTATATTTAGAGTGATTGTCTAATTAATTGATTACCAAAGGAGAAATCTATTAAAAGAAAATGTTGTATTCTTATTTAATTATTAAAACAAGTAGAAAAGAAATAATGAGGATAAAGGAAAAGGAAAAAGAAACTAATAGAAGAAATACTATAATGATTTTACCAAATTCTCCTTTTAAATTAATAATCAGTTCTATTAGAAAACGATTGACTACTATCAGGTAAAGAGTATAGTAGAAAGAAAAATGGGAGGAGTTGCTAGTAATAAGACCTAGGAGAGTTATTTTGTTAATTTTTATCTATTGAGTAAGCACATTATTTCCGATTCATACGAAATAGCTTGATAATTAAACGCCTAGCAAAAAGCATGAAAAAGTCGCAGGTGGACAAACAAGAGTCTTTGAAGCGTAAAAACAGCAATTAATCGTTGAAAAGGTGCGAATTCCTAGGCAAAATACAGGTCGCTAGGTGTATGTTTAGATTGTATTATGCGGTTTTATTTATATGTTTTCTTTTGTAGAAAATGGCGGTCGGGATGAAACGGAAAATGATTGTGGTTCCATTAAAGCATCTAATAAATCGTCGAAGAAGCCTAGAAAGGCCAGAACCGCCTTTACCGATCATCAATTGAACGAATTAGAAGCGAGTTTCTCAAGACAAAAATACCTCAGTGTTCAAGATCGAATGGAATTGGCATCTAGATTGAATCTCTCCGATACACAAGTCAAAACTTGGTACCAAAATAGAAGGTAAGCCTACAATTTCTTTAAAGTAATTTAATATAAAAAATAAGCTACTATGCTAATTTATTATTAACAATCATTATCTTATCATTATTTAAAGCAACTATAGTACCCTTATAGACTAAATATACGTCTGTACCGTATATTAGTATATAAACTGCAATATAGCGTGCCTTATTAGCTTATACCTTATTAACTCTTAAGAGAATAATTTATTTAGGAGTAAAAATTTTTGATATATTGTTCAACATTAGAATTATCAATGTTTAAATATCATTAAATTGTATGTGAGAAATTTGCTTTTTTGTGTTCTATGACGTACTTATACTGCTTTGAAAAGCGATAAAAAGACTGAATAGTGTCATGATTGTGCCAATCTATACAAGCCGATTTTCGTTGGATTGTATGATCTATATAGAAAAAACACTCTTCTCAGGCCTTTTTTTTATTGCTATCACCCTTTTCTTTATGTATTTTCTGTCTTATTCTCCAATATAACCTTAGATATCTGTCTATCTATCTATCTTTCTATCTATCTGTCTTTCTGAGCATATTATAGTCTTCACTTTACTTTCTCTTCAACAAAAGGAGGCGGGATTGTGTAGTATACGTTTTGTAAACTTTAAGAGGTAGGAAAGAGGAGAGAGCGAGAGATCGTATACATACATAGATGGAAAAAATAGATGGATAGAGGTTCATATGAAAATTTAATGTAGGAAACTTTCCGCCTCTCCTTTCTTTTATTCTTTGATTGTTAAATAAAAAATATCGCCGACTAACTTGTAACAGAATTTATTAAAATGCGTCACATTCATTTTCATTTGTAACGCTTTTTTTTTATTTCGTATATCTAGTGTATATTTAACATTACAAGGGTGGAAAAAAAAGAGAGGGAGAGACGGCTCTTATTTCAGCATCTCTCGTCAGCCAATAAAAAATCGCAGTGTTTCACGCATCGCTAACCGCAATCGGCGTTGCAGTTCAGTGAATTGTTTACGTGACACTTTTGTTGACTAATTTACATATGGGAAGTACGCCGGAAATTGAAAGAAATTATTTCTAATTGATCGCCATTTTTTCAATTCTTTATTCCTTGACTGAGAGGATGTCATATACAAAAATCCCAGTTGAGTCGTAAAGCTTTTTGTAAATTTTTGAACGAGCTGTAAAGTGATGCTATTTTTTTTGCCTCATAGGCGTTACCTAAATTTAAAAGCACATTAATTCTTTTGTACATATATTTCTACTTTTTACCATTTATAGAACAAAATGGAAAAGGCAAACAGCAGTTGGACTGGAACTACTCGCTGAAGCTGGAAATTTAGCTGCTGTGCAACGTCTAGTTCATTCAAACTCATCTTATTGGTCAGCTTACTTACCCCCTCCAGGTGGAGCTGCTGGAGGAGGAATAATGTCGAATTTGGACGCTCTTTACTCAAGGGGGACGGCTTGTCCAGCGCCACCTAGGCCATTTATACCCAGATTGTTTATACAAGGCCTACAGCAACACGTCAATCATTTACCTCCCAGTTTGCCGCATTCCGAATCAAATTCTTGACTCTTTGAACATTGAATTTCTTCTTTTTTTTCATTCTAAAAATCGTCTTGTTTTTTTTTGTCTGCAGCTTACAATATAACTTCTGTAAATCATTTAAGTAACAATATTTAAGATGAGAGCAAGAAGGAGAGAGAGAGAGAGAGAGAGAGAGAGAGAGAGAGACCTATAAATTTATACTTAAAAACACTGTATATAAATTTTTTCATTCTAAAATTAAGTATGAAAGTGAAAAAGAAAATGAAAGATAAAATGAGAAAGGAAGAAAGGAAGAAAGAAAAAAGAGAGAGAAATTTACACATTTTATTATTTTGTTTGTTTGTTTTTTTTTGTTCACGAAAACAATTGTACTTTCAATAAACGATAATTTATAATCGTTAATGAGCAGTTTGTCAAATTTATTATTTATTGCTTCTTAATCTATCTTTTCTTCTTCTTCCTCCTCCTCCTCCTCTTCCTCCCCCTTCTCCTCCTATTCTTCTTCTTCTTCTTTTGTAAAAATATTATAATAACCATAGAAAGAATATACAAGGGACAAAGGGAGAATATTGTAAGATGCTAAGAGCTTTTCTCTGATATAATAGAAGAGGAATAGAAAAGGCGAGAAAATTAGATAAGTGAGGGAAAATGGGCGGAGTTTATAACGGATAGGTTTATTGCGTTTAGAAAGAATATTGCCCAAACGGAAGCATTTTGAGTGTCAAAACTGACACTTGACCTATAAAAATATCTCTCCGTGCAACTTGAAAATATGCTTTCTTGTAATAGCCGAATAGAACGCAAAGTAGTAATTATAGGTCACGTGACATTATTGAGGAGGATAAGCACCAAGTGACAAAGAGAATAAAGATAAAAACTGCAGAGTGAGCGAATGTTTTGAAAGATAATAAAATAAGAGGAGAGATAAAGAAAAGAATGGGAAATAAGACTATTGGAAGAAGAAGAAGAAGAAGAAGAAGAAGAAGAATATGATGATGGTGAAAAAAAGGAAAATCTGGAAAAGTAGGCGAAAATTTTATGTTTTCAAAACATGGAATGTAAAACAGTTAAAAATCGCCTTTAAAATTTAATTTCCTGCCAAACTTGAAATAATCCTATCGATCCATGGAGAAAATTACCTGCCTAACGACGCTAATGTATCAAAGAAAAGCTTGATTTCCGATCAGACGTGATTGCGCATATTAATCCAAAATCGGGGTGTCAATTTTTTCGACGCTACCCGCGTTTCTCTATATAAACATCGAATTTGCAATGGATTATTAGTGGATTAACAACCACCGTCCAACTATTTGTTGATAACTAGCAGGCAGTTTGCCTATGCATAATTTATGCTAATGATTTGCCTGTAAAATTTTTCGGACGAATATTTTTTTGTATAGATTTGTATAAATGAGATTTATTTCTCTCTTGTCTAAACTACTTAAGAGTCTTATTTTAAAGAATTAGGCCTACTAGTTTGTAAAAAGAGGAAACCAATATCCTACTTAATTATATTCCAATGTGATTTTTAAGTGTATAAAGCTCTACACTTGTAAATTGCCTTTAAATTTACTCAATTCGCCACCTAAATAAGAAGGATTTATTCTCTTGAAGGTACTCAACAATCTTTACCTATTATGAATCCTAATTAAGATATATAGGGTGGATTAATTTATAGTTATTCCCTCAAAAAATTATCGTTTAAGGGCTAGGGCGAAAATTCTCCAATCCCCGGAAAGAGAGGAAGTATATCAGGGAAAAAAAACCACCATTACACAGTAGTACCACCAGTAGGAGGCGCTCGAAAGCAACGCTAAATGGATGCAAATGGAAGCGATAAAGAGACAAATCACATTCATAGAACAGACAATATTCGATTCGCCCGCGGATAAATAAACTTTATTTATCGAACATGGCTGGACTGCGACGTTTTTGCGCGGTTTACTTAATCGAATTGCAGTATTTTCATTTTAAGCTACTGCAAAACATTTCTGCTATCTCTTTAAAAACATTGGTAAAAGGTTTATTAAATTATAAAGCAAGTAAAATTCTGCGATTTCCCCCTGCACCGAAATCTATACTCTTTAAGTATGTACTCGCAGAAATGGAGAACATATAGGCCTAAGGGTATATGCATTCCCTCATTGCGGTCGATGTCTGGTCAACTGCAACGAGTGCGCTAATAGCTCAGCCAACTGTCGTCAAGAGGCGTCTCTCGCCGTGTAAAGTGACATCTCAAAATGTCGCCGGGGACGAATCGGATTTCCCTACTACTGCAGAGCATTTTGCAGTCGGTCGCTTTAAATACAGATCGTCTGCATTATTCAACGCCGCTAAGATACGGCGCGACGCCGACGAAAGTGGTGTGAATTTTGGATGAGAGTGACTACTGTAGTTTTATCCCTCAATAAAACTGTATTGTTTAAACAAAATATCTTACAATCCCAATTGTAATTTATACAACGGTTTACATTGTATATTATATTCTGATGCAGTTGGGGAATAGACGCTTTTATTGCAGCGTGTAATTTAGATTTGATTTTACATGCTTAATAATTTTTATCGATATTGCGCATAGCATTACAAACTGTTTAGGTATTATATGTTTGCCAAGGAACATACAATTAGGAAGGAAGGCAGGATGTGACACTTGCGTGTTTTAGAATTGTTTAACCTAGCCTACAAGCTAATAGGCCTATGAAGCGACAACAAATTTATAACAGCCCCGGAATTTATATATACCAAAAGCCGTTAAATAATCGAATATATATATATACAGTATATAGATTTATGTAATATACTTTATATGCACATATATACACACTGTATATATAAATATCGGAGACGCTCCCGAGCGTTTCGTGCAAATTGTCAACAAATATAAAGTGTAAATAAATAAGCGCAATAGCGGCGTATAAATGGGCGGCGTTCAGCCAAGCGCGAAGCGGCGTCTCCTCTCGTCAAGTCAATTTTCGAGCCGTCTCCGAACCGAATTACAAACAATCGACGCCGCTAACGAGATTTGTTTACCATTTACTGTAAAGTGGCTCTGTTGCCGCTGATATTTAGGAGTATTGCCCATGGTATATTTGTTTATTTATTATACTTTTGTCGCAAATAAAGGTCTTTTATATACATATCAATACAAATATACATATATGCATTTAAAAAATATGCATTCTACGATAATTATGATAGGAATTATAATGCAGAGAAAATATTTCATACCAGTTTCCATATTAAAAAATTTATAGAGCAAGAAGCAAAGAAGAAGAAGAAGGGAAGAAAATATTAACTTTTTAAACAGGAAACGCTTATAAAAAATAACGTTTGAGTAACGCCTTTTTTTTTTGTTTAAAATAATAAAAACAAAAGAATTAGAGGGAAGAAAGGATAATTTTTAATAAAAGAATCATAATTAATGCATGACATAAATATTACGGTTTAAAGGGTAATGGACCTAGGGAAAATGAGAATGAAATATCTCTCCATGATATAACTATTAAATATTTATGGCGTTTTGTAAGCTGTTTGGTCGAAATATATTATCGAATATATACTATACATATCCTATATAGATTAGTATATATATATATTATATATATATATATATATATATACTAAGAGAGAAAATGTATTATATCAATAATAGGATTGAATATATCGCTTTTGCTTTATTTATTTACACTTTATGCTTGTTGACAGTTCGCACGATCAAGTCAATACTCTAAAGCACACGTATAGATATATACTTAGTTAAAACAGCCAATTAATCTCTCTAATCTCTAATCCATAATAGATTATTCCAAAATGGCGTGCTATCCTTTTTTTTAAAAAATATACAATAGATTGGATAGTAAGCAGTAAAACGCCAACCTAATTGTTCACTTTGGACGCAAATTGTGGAAAAAGTAGCGCAAAGCACGAAATAAACCTATCATACAGTTCCTGTTATATCCATCTTAGTCTTTGTTTAATAGTTTCTCGATGAATGCATACAAAATATTTCGAGCTTATACAACTATGTTTCTATTTCTGGCCATAAATTATTAATAAGTGCAGTATACGGTATTTAAATTTACACACGCGTTACATTTACATTTACATATTTAACTATATAAATACACAATATACATCTCATTGTAATCTTCCACTCCCGCTTCTTATTCTCTCTTATCAACTCTTAGTCACTCGAAAATATACATACTCGATTCCCCTGTATGCATATATGTATATATAGACTGTATAACGTTGGCGAACTACTTCCAAAATGGGAGGAGTTTAACAAATAGGCGGAGTCTATTAACTAGCCAATCAAATCTAAGAGTATTCTCCCGACACATCTGCCGTCTTCTTTTATTCAGCGTGTTTTAGCAATTCACCGTCAAACTATCAACTTCAAACGCGAAAGCGGAAATCCAAAAGATTTCTCTTTTTATCTTTCTAAAAAGATAAAAATAAAGATAAAGAAAAAAAATGACAGAGAAAATTGAATCGAAAATCAGAACGAGCTTCTTCATCGACGACATATTAGGAACATCACCATGCCCCGACGAAGATATCAGCGTCTCGGAAGAAGGTACAATTTATTTTACTATTGACCTAGATTATAATTTGATAAACAAAATGGCTACCAAAAGTAAACATTGTCATATGGTGGCGCAATTCGATGTTTTTAAAAATTATAAATAGCAACAAAAAAAAGAATTAAAAGGGTAAAGAGAGTTTGATAACGGAGCAAATTGAAAAGAAACTATATAAATATATATAGAATTTATATATATATATATACTATATGTATGAAAAAAAGGTCAAAAAGAACATTTAAAGGGAAAAAGAAATAAAATTTAAATGGGAATGTTTGTACTGCTAAAAATCGACAATAACTTTTTATTTATTATATTAAAAAATATCTAGTGAATAATAGCCGTAAAATAGATATTCTTACAAAAAGAACAAACTAAATTTCAGGTAAATTGAAGTAGTAATAGAGAGTGTGTTTTTTACGACTATTTACGTCAAAT